ATTTATATATTTAATACAGCCCCGCAGCCAAAGCATATGCAAGCATAAACCTGCTAGCTTCTAATGCAAGAACGTATTTAACGAGGTCTGGACTGTGATGTTATTGCACCATAAATTTGTACGCGTAGAAAGCGTCGATAATTATCTTGTCAAGTCAATTGCCTTACCTTTTTCTTTCCTGTCGCACTCTTACGTGCTTTTTGTTTTGATGTGTGAATGGGTTGAACAAAAGCAGTTGTGTAGCGCCTATCCGACTTCAGACCCGTGAGATGTCTGCATTAGCGGGATTTGATGCAGCTGATTTTGTTAAATTCGGTCGCAAAACCGTGTGTGTTGGAAGAAATTACGCCGAACATGCGAAGGTATACATAGCTATGTACTTCTGTTTATTTAAATATGAATGTGCAATGGGGGTTTCTTGTGTTTAGGAATGCTACTTCGTTCTCTGCCGAGGTGAGGTAAACAGTCAGGGCAGGGCACTTGTTGATTGTAAGTGAAACATTGCGATAAGCTAAAATACGGATACGTGAAGATGTAGGTGCAGTGTGCTGGGATGACGCGTTCTTGTATCCACAACTGTGCATAGAAATTGATGTGCCGTAATGAGTGCCACGCCGATTCCACAAATGCTTATGGTTGGGAAGGAGCATGTATTCAAGTCTTCGTCCGCAGCCGCACTTCGTTGCGCTACTCTACAGAATCTCTGCCTATACTGTATATCGCACTGGAGTTTGATCCGATGTACAGTGCTATCAACACTTTCAAATTAACCCCTACGAGTGGTATGCGAAACACTATGTTTCGACACGATTATTACTTATGGGTTTTTCGAAAAGTCACCCATTGTTCTTTTAAGTACTCTGTCCTGTGCTTCTGACGGACTCTGCAGGAACTAAACAATGCGGTGCCAGACACTCCGTTGTTGTTCTTAAAGCCACCCAGCGCATATCTACCCCACTGGAGCGCAGAACCTATTCGAATCCCTAAAGGAGCCACCGTCCACCATGAAGTGGAGTTAGGGGTGGTGATTGGGCAGGGCGGCACCGATATAAATGAGAAATGGGCTATGCAGCATGTCGCGGGCTACTGTTTAGCACTGGACTTAACGGCGAGAGATATTCAGGTATGCAGAGCGATACTGTGGGGACATCTGGTTGACTGAATGAGGTGTGATGTGGACTTATATGTATATTTGCTTCTCGTGTGCATCTTTACCAAATATTTGATGCGATATGCTGAGATCGTGTTGCAAATCTGTGGTCGAATCGTTTGCGTTCGTGTACACACAGCTTCGAGAGTGAACTCGAGCAGAACCGCACAAAAACAATACTTGTATGATCCTACTACTTTGGTTGTTGCTTTCGAGGTAATCATATTTATCCGTGTTCGTGTGTTTTGTACCTAATATTCTTATCGAGTAGCATCCGCGATATCCGTAAAGGGCGATTGTTGATAGTTTATATCAACACAGATACAAAGATAATGCCATTGAAGACGTCGACAGATTAAAATGAGAAGTTTCGATTGTGCGCCTGATCAATATATCTTTGTGCGACCAATAGGAGGCAGCGAAAAAGAAGGGGACTCCCTGGACAGTTGCTAAAGGATATGACACGTTCACGGTAAGCTGCATGATACCACTTGTATTAGAGGTATTCCTTGTTATTTTTGTTCTTTATCAGTAACTGCTCGCGCTGTTTTATATCCTATCCTTGCGAGGAGTACAGCAGTGTGCCAAGATGGCTCGTTTTTTTGAGCGATATATATATATATTAAATGCGAATGGTGGTGTGTCGATGTTGCAAGCCTGTAAATTTTTAGCAGGCGCTTCCAGGTTCCAGCGAATACTATTTGTTGCTTAGCTCGACCGAATATCTGCATTTGATTTCTCATTCTTTACACATTAACAGCCAATTGGAGGCTTCATTCCTAAATCAGAGATCTCGGACCCTCACAATGTACGACTCTGGTGTAAAGTGGATGGAGTGATGAAGCAGGATGGGAACACTGAAGACATGATTTTCTCCATTGAACACCTAATTAGCCATATAAGGTATGTTTGCTGACGCTCTGTGCTGTGTGCTTTCCATTGTCAGGCAGATGTGTACGGTTTGTCCGGACTTCGCAATACTTGGTTGGTTATTTTTAATATGTGAATGAAGTGAGGAGAGATACTATACAGTTAATTATATAGCTCAATGCAGTTGATTATATCTCTATGCAATTGATTATATAGCTCAATGCAGTTGATTATATAGCTCAATG